TTAAACGCACACCTTGTTGAGACCCCTCCTGAAATTTGCCATTTTGCAGCTTCCCTTTTTCAGTATTTTTTGCACAGGCCACGACCCTTGGCGTATTAGTGTCGCATTGACACGTAAATTGACATGAAATTGAATCAATGCTGTAATATGTCCTTGGGGGAGCAGCCCAAAAAGGGGAGGGGGTGGTTGGGCGGCTGGGCGGAGGACTCCCACAAGGACAATGACTTTAAAATATCTCCCTCTGTGTGTGTGTGTGTGTGTGTGCTTAGCTCTTGTCTGGCAAATTGAGCTGTAGGCCTCGTCGCCTTAACCCCCCACTGCCCACGGTGACTGTGCAAATTTTGTGCGTCTGTCTGCATGTTTGATTATATGTACTAAATCATCTCATTCTTTCCCCCGCTTTTTTTGGCATATTTTATTTATTTTTTGGCTAGGGTGATGCCAGCCGAGTTTATTAACTTGTTTAAAAGCAGCGGCGTTTAACCCTTTAAGGGCTTTGGGCGAAAGTCACCCCCGGGGTGGAAAAAGTGGGAGTGTTGAAAGGGCAAGAACATGAAAGAATATGTTGCAGGGGGGGTGGGGTGGTGCTATTGAGGTTTAAGTTCATGTTGGAGCCAGTGAGGGGTTAAGAATTAGACAAGTCAATGGTGATGAAAAATTAAGTTAAGTAAATGTGAGCTTCAATAATGGTATTTATTTGTAAGACATTTATTTATTTTATTTAATTTAAGTATCTTGAAGATACCCAATTTAAGCGATCTTCTAAATCCCTAAGGTGGGGTTACAAAAGTCTTATTTCACGTTGGATCTAGAGAAGGGTTAGGAATTATACAAGTCAATGGTGAAAAGTGAATGAAAAATGAACTTAATAAATTCGAGTTTCACCTTTTAAACTACTTGAAAATAAAACGAAATATCATTTAAGGAAACTGCAAAATATAAATATCTTAAAGGTACCCAATTAAAGCGATCTCCTCTCAATTGTTATTCACTTTCTGGACCAAAACCTCAACATAAAAACCGTAAACCCTCATCCAGGATAACCAGGATAACCATGTGTGTGTGTACTTAAATGCGTACATATATTTGCATTTAAGGGTGGAGTCAGCACACTTTGATCTTTGCCTTTCTCCTTTGACGGCGACTCGGCCCAAAAAGGGGTTTTAAATAAATAATCTTAAATAGCGAAAAAATCATACGCTCGTATGTCGGGCATTGTCTTGCCAAGTTCCGTGGGAATTAATTCGAGCAGAAAATTCATTTACAACATTAGCGCATCGTCGCCTCTTTTTTGGAACTCTTTTTTTTGCCTTTCTTTGGGGGTTTTTATGACATAAATTACATCAAGCGCAAAATTTTAATATAATTTTCACTAAAAACGCAACGCGAAACTTTTTTAGTTACACGCCTTGCTCATCAAAAGAACCTTGGGTAGAGGGTGCGGGGTGATGGAGGAGAGGAGCAAGGCGTGTGTGAAACAGGATATCCGCTGTGGAAGCTACAAATTTTCCACTTTTCCACACACACACACACACGCAGGGGGAGAGAGCGAGGTGGCACCTTCTAAAGGATGTGTGGAAATTCAGGAAAGTAGGGAAATTTCGGAAAAGGCACAGAAAGGAAATCTATTATAGCATACGAGTATATTACATATATTATTACTAAATAATTTGTACATTATTATGTAATGTATTATTTAACATTATGTTATTATTAATTTTATGGATGTGTGGAAATTCAGGAAAGTAGGGAAATTTCGGAAAAGGCACAGAAAGGAAATCTATTATAGCATATATTACATATATTATTACTAAATAATTTTTACATTATTATGTAATTAAATTATTTAACATTATGTTATTATTAATATGTTTACATTTCTCTTAACAATGTATCGTATTTCTGTAAATACTATTAAAGCGATTTAAATAACTAATTATGGATTTTAGAAATTGTTGAAGACACAATTTGTCATCAAAAAATCTTTCTAAGAACGATCAACGATCAAGCGGCATGAAAACATTCCGTTTTAGGGCACATTTTCGCTCAGTGTTCCGGGGACCCTCTGGAAACTTGTCACTAATGTGCTTCTGCTTACAACGCCATTTTATGTTTATTTCGTTACATCGTCTCCGGGCGGAAAGGACACTCCACTATATATTTTATGCCATGCTACCCAACTACTCTCGCACATATTTGCCGAGTCCTTTTAATCATTTGGCAAACTTTCCCTGACACGCAGCCCGAGATCCCGTTAAAGGAGTCAACTACGTTTTCCGTATGCCAAAAAACTACTCACCAACACACGCACGCATGTCCTGGCACAAAGTCCTTTTAGTTTTTAATGTAATTTTGAGACTTTTTCAGCTGCTGTGTCACTTTGCACACGAAGTGGGGCGGGCCGGGGAATCCCCCTCCAAATTCCCCCGGGGTCACAAGTTATTTCTTTAAGTGATTCCCCAGGACATGGGTAACAGTTTAGCCAAAGGTTTTTAGGCAAGGACATGCGAACTTGGTACTGAGCTCAAGAAACTCTTTAAATTCCTTTCAACAGTTGTTAAAAAACACTTCTTGTAAAATTAATAACATTAATGTTGTTAAAGTTCCAATTAAATTAATAAAATTGAAGAACATTGAGATGACTAACTATCTGTAATTTTAATTAAACAAAGTACCATTTCTGAACTATTTTAAATTTATTTAGTCTGTAATATATATATTTTTGGTAGTAAAATTTCCAATTAACATAAAAATATTGCTTTTTAAGCCAATAAAATTTCTTTTAAGTACATAAACCCAAAAGTCATTTTTTATAAGCATCCCAGAGAAAGTCAAGGGATATTTGCTCACTTAAGGCAGACTGATTGCGAGATCGTAAATGATACAATCGCAAAAGAACAAGTGGTTCGTAAGCCTTTTCGCCGAAGCGAATCCAATTGAAATCGAAGTGAACTGAACCACCCGAAGGCCTCATAAATTTCATAGCGAAATTGTTAAATTTTAATAAAATCAAAGCGTATCAAAAGCGATTTGTTCACCAGGCGACGACTGTTTCTTATTTTTTGTTTTTGGTTATTTCCGGGGCACGGAATTCCTACCCCCAAGGACAATCGTCCTTGCCATCGTTATCCTTGTTCGCAGCCTGGTTATATCGCGTGTTTATTGTTGCAACAGTCGCGCGGGGCTCTTTAAAATAATTTAAGGCTTAAGGGTTGGGTTTTTGGCTTCAGCCTCGGCCTCGTCCTCGGATTCGGATTTTCGGGCTTCTGGGTTTACATTTAACCCCCGCGATGCGCATTTCCAAGTCGCTTCTCGTGACTCGTTAAAGGATTAAAATCATTTTAATGGATTTTTCAAGCTGTTGTTTTGTTGTATAATTGTCGCCTCCATTGTGTCTCGCTCTGTTTCCATAAATAGGGCACACATTCGGCTGAGCACAGGGTGGCATTGACAGGAACCCATCGCCCTTCGTGTTTCGTCCTGGGTCCTTTGCCCGCCTCATTTGTCATCATCTTTATGCTGATGGCTTGAGGTGTTAATGAAGCGGACAAGTCGGGCTCTTTGTGTTAACTTTTTGCCGCGAATCGGTGGGGGATAGGTGGCCCAAAAGTCATAGCCACTCCTAACCAAAGGTTAAAATAACTATTCTAAACTGAATAATAACATTAAAGTACTTTTTTGAAAGCCCAAAAGTCATAGGAGCATTTAGCCAAAGCTCAATATGATAATGGATTTTAAGGAACTCGTTTTCTCAAAGAATTGTAGTTTTTAACTAATAACAAATTTTTCGTTTAATTTATTTGTTCAGGTGTCAACTACTTGTTAAAGTAATCTATATGATTACTTAAACTTTAAAAGCGCATACTCCTAACCAAAGATTAATATAATTATGGACTTTTACAAATATGTTATCCCCTAGAATGATGGTTTCTCAACTCATTAATAATATTTGATCAGGAGTAAACCAATTTTAGTTATATTCTAAACAAAAGTAGTTTAAGTTCTTGCTACATAAGGCTTTTCAGTTTTATGATGAAGCAAATTAATAAATATTTAATAAAGTGTGGTTGTTTTAGTTTACTGGAAATGTAGTATGTCGCGTATTATACACAGGTGGAGACACCAAAAACCTCTTAATCAAGCCTGGCTTCCATAGCCACTTGTAGCCCTTTAAAATGCCAACTTTTCGTAATTCTTTAGACATAACCCTTAACCCCACAATCCATAAAAGCGCAAGTCAGCTCATTAAGGACTAAGCCCAACTCAATTGGCGATGAGCCCGAAAAGGAAGCTCGCGGCCATCGGTGGAAACGGAAATGGAAACCCCAGAACGGGCTCTTATCATAATAAGGGGTATATTGCCGACCTATCGGGTTATAGGCAAAGATCTCTAATTAACCCATTAGCCAATCCCTATCCCCGGCCGGATTTTTCAGCTCTTTGTTGGCCCAAAGCCGCGGGCATCGGGATTTCGGCTTCGGTTCGTTTAACCCCTGGATAAAAGGTATATTTATTTACAGCTAATTTCGCGTGTGGCCCGCGGCCAAAATAGACATGCAATAAGCTCACCTGGCCTTAACCCACCACCAGCACTCCCGCCCATCAGCATTAACCCCCGGCTGCCCGGTTGACATTGATACGTGTGGTTCGGTGTCTAACGAGCGACAAGCCCTTGAGGCCATTTCCCAAAAGCCGCTTAGTTCCCAGTTTAGCTCCGCTCAACTCACTGCACTGAGAGAAAGTACCCGAAATCTAGCCAGTGGCCAGGCAAACCACTCTAAGTCTAAGCCAAATTCATAAAAAACTCGTATTTAGTTGATGAGTTTAAAGCTCTATTTTGTATCTTTGTATATATTAAACGAAAAATGGTTTTTGAAGTAAAGGAATTAAAGCCCACAAATGAAAGTCAAATCAAAGTTTTTTTGCCAGTGTGGCGGTGATGTTATCGCCTAAGCCTTCCAAATCCGATTCCCCCGGAATGCTCAACCTGTTCCGCTCACCTGGCAACTTGAAGGGCAATCCGGCCATAAGTGGATCCGGTCCAAAACGTTGTGGCCCAAAGGCGAACGGATGGAATCCCTGGTGTCGCACCTTGGATCTGGGTTCCCTCGGCCCATCCACGGTCACCTTGATGGCCTTCGTGTAGGTGGCTATCTGGATGGGGTTCGTCGAGATGACAATCGTCAGGGTGAAGCTCTTGCCTGAAAAATATGATTTTAAATTGGGGTTTAATATTAACTAAAAACTAAATGCATAAAATCTTAAAGGAATATTAAATATTATCATTCTTGTTTATTTCATTGTGCCTATAAACTATTTCATTATACTTACAAATTGGTATTAAGATCATTTTTAGCATTCATTCATTATACTTAACTTATGGATGTGCTAAGTTTTTTATAAGTGCGTTTCATAAACCCAACAACTGTTTGTAAGGAACCTCCTTTGCCTGACATAATTTAAGGTTCCATGCTTGTATTCGGGATTTTCGAAATTATTAAAGGAATTTCGCCAATCTTTTCAGGTTCCCATCCCCGGTGAAATATTAAATGTTAATTTTCGGCGACCATTCCCAGGCAATCAGAGGGCACAGATCCACACCAGCCACCCACTCTTTCTGGCACTCCCACGGCAGCTGCAAATTATCCAGCGAATTTATAGATTTTCTATGACCCTATGGGTTGCCATGGCCAAAACGGCAACTGCACATGGAAATTAAAGTGCGGATTCGGAATTTCGGATGGGAACGGAGCGCTTTCCGCGAAAATTAACCCCCGACGGAGTTGTGAAAGCTTCATAAAAACACACACTCACCAACGTGCAGACATGCAGATTTGCAGGGGGCATGAATGAATGAATGAATGGATGAGCGGAGGATGCTGCGGGTCAGGGGTTATGGGGTTATGGGGGTTAAGCCGGGGACGAATCGGTCTGAAAATCGGGAATGCAACTATATGCACTTCCTTTGCAGCCAATGCAATATTAAGTAGCGTGCGGCGACTTTGACATGCCAACTATTGTGGCGCCGTCTGGTTCATATTCCAAATCCCAGATACCATACCCTTAACCCCTCCACGGTTAACCCTCCACCGCCTGACGGACGAAAAAACCCACCCCCTAAACGGTGCGCTGCATATTTGAAATATCCATAAAGTGAAACTCCCAGACGCGCGAATATAAAATTCATTTGCCAAACATTTTGAATGCCAAAATACTTGAGTTAATCAACAAAAGGTGAAAAACACTGAGGGGATGCTTAAGTTGTAAGGGAGTTGTGCTGAGAGATCTTCAATTTAATTGGAGAATACTTCCAGTACAACATAGGAAAAATAAAAAAAAACATATATAAACAAAAAGATTATAATACCGATTAAATTTCTAAGATATGTTAGGATATTCTAGTAAATAACCTAGTAAAAAGTAGTATTAAAGGAGATGATTTTATAAGTATTTTAATAATAATACAATATTATTTACAGGTCAGTTATCCCCTTCGTATACTATGTAAGAAATATATTTTGGGATATTTTTAAGAAGCACTATTTCAATATTAACATCAAGATGCGATTACACCCTTTGAATAAGTATTCTGTAACAAGACTTGATGATCTGTTAACAGAACACTATTCGTAACTTTTGTATGCAAATTTGTCGTGGTCATGTGCCTCATAATCCATTTACAAACCCAGCCCCACCATATAATTCCGAGTCATTTTCAGCTTTCTGGTCTACAGCCAAATAAGGAGAACACATAAAAAACAAACAAACTTCTTAGATTAATATTAAATTAAACGAAGCATGCAAAAAACGCAAGAAGGCGGTAATCATTAAGACAAAGGGCAGCAAACAAACTGACGACGTCTGAATTTCCCTGGGCTGTAACGGCTGCAGTGGAAAATCTAGAAAAGCATGGGCGGAAAGTGGGCGGGAAAAACCCCAGAAACCCACGCAAGAAAACAAATGAACGTAAACAGAGGCGAAACGAACCAAGAAACCCAACAAAATGAAATGAAACTTTTTTAATTATGCGCCCTCAGCAACAGCAGAGCAAAAGCAACAAGCTGGAAAAGCGGGTGGGAAATGGAAAATTCTGGGGGGTGGGGTCGGTGATTTTCAAGTCAGGAAGGAGTAACCAGAGAAGGCTCGCAAAGTGGCTAAAGACAAAAGACTTTGGCGTCGTCTATTTTTGTTTTCTGTTCTGTTTTTTTTGGCTCTACTTTACTCGCTTTTGTGTTTTGCCAAATGAGCAAAAATTGCAAATAAATCTGTAGCTGTTAGCCATTTTCCACCAGCCCTCCCAGCCCCCCGCCCTTCTACATTTCCAGGGGGCGTGGCATCCACAACAACGGCGACAAAGAACTTTTGCCTGCTAATAAGATGAAAAACCATTAAAAGTCGACACAAGTCGCGTCCATTGCAAGTGGAAAATTCTGTGGGCGGGGAGGTGTGGAAAATTCTGTAGGGGGCGGGGCGGGGAAAGCCAAGTGTATGTGTGTGTGTGTGCTGGGTTAAAATGTTGTCATTTTCGCAACAAAGCAGAAATTATCACCACTTTGCAAAAGGCGACGACAACGACGACGGAAAAGGAGTTGGAAAATGCGGAAAAGGGGCTGGGAAAATCGAGGGGGGCGTGGCAGTGGCGTGGGTGGGGGTGGGGGCAACTCGGTGGCAATGTGGACAAAGTCTGCACCCTTTTAACAGGACCCAACTGTGACATATGCGTGGGGTGGGGTCACAGTGGACCCAAAACTAAAAATTGGTTTTTAAACTTAAATGAAAAGGCAATAAAATCGTAGTTGTACATTTGATGTATAAAACTAGGCAGTAACATTTATAAAAATATTGTATTAGTCCAAAAGAAATAGTAAAACATATGATGATATATATTTATTTGTTATTCGTACAGATTAAACATTTTTTAAAAATCTCAACAAATTTTTTTGAAGAAATTCCGCAAAATACTAAAAAATTCAAAGTATTTATTTCGTTATTGTTAATAATAGTTACTTAGTCATTTTACCAAAAGAAAAATATTATTCCAGTAATCTTTTCTTTCATTATAAGTACACATAAAATTATTTAACCACATTGCTATCAGAATAAATATACTAAACATTTAATTTTAAACAAAACTTTTTATATGTGCTGGAAAATAAATGTGTTATTACTTTACTTACAAAAATTCTTTTCTAATTATTTTAAATTTTAAAAATATTTGTAAAAAGTAGATCTTTAAGAGTGAAAGTTCCACTGTGGCTCATTTATGTGGACGCGAGTGTGTGTGCCGGGCGCTAAGTGATTTTAAAACAAAGTTTTTGAAACGTTTAACCTTGCACAACAAAAATGTTTCATTTGCTGTGGAAGCAGAAGCCGAAGCCTTTGCCTGCATTTTAACTTTCGATGCTGATAATGAAGGCAGGACTACCGCCCCCCAAAAAGGGGGCGGGAAGGGGGGATGGTGTGTGGTGGGTGGTGGGTGGCCAGGACATCGCAGCAAGGACACCGACAAGGGTTCGTATGCTTAGGCAATTTAATGGCTGCTACTGCCACTGCCACTGCCACTGCCTTTTGCCCTGTGTTAATGTCGTTAGTAGCATGGCGCCATAATTATAATTTGACATAAGACAAGAAGTCTGAGGTTGACAACAAAATGACATTTTAAATACAGCAGGATGCGAAACAAGGAACCAAGGAGAGCAACCCCCAGGACAAACCCAAACCCAGAGGCACTCGGCTCGTATTTAGACACTTAACAGATCATAATTTCAACACTTTGCCTAATGCCAACGAATTTACTTAATGGCCGGGCTTCATCGAGGATTGCCAGGGGATCAAATGACGGGGGCCAAGAAACCCCTACACATACTCAAAACTTTGCCCTAAGCCTCAGAAAAATATATCTCGGCATTACATTTCGCTGCAGAAGGCTCCGGTCCAGTCGAAAGTCTCTTTTCCTTGGCAGTCTATTTGCATAAACTCCACTTTGACCCCCCAAAGGCACTGGGATATCTCCTTGCCAGTCATAAATATTCATATGTTTATTTTATAGCAAAAAGGACAAAGTATGTGAGGGGTTTCCCTTCACTTTTGACTTGGCCGAGTTGAGACTGCTTGAAGACACTTTGTTGATTGTTTATGTGGCCACTATTACTTTAAGCCATTTTTGTACTCTCTTTTGAATCACAAACGTAGCAATAGGTGACCCAAAACTTCATTTATAGGGGGCATTACTTGACTAGTTTTATTTATTTTTTAAGCTAGTGGCTTAACTTGTCATTTCAATAATATTCAACTTTTTTCAGGATTTTTGAGTTATCATTTTTCAATGATTTGCGGCATGGTGACCTAAAACTGCTAGTTTAGAGTTCATATCAGGTTACCGATTCTTAAGTATTGCACTTATAAAATTTTGTGGCTTAACTATCTTGTCATGTACATAAAACATTAAACGATGATACGTTCTTTTTAACCATTTAATTCTGATTTTTTTCTTTTTTTAATTTATTTAGTGTTTTATTTTCAGTAAAAATTTTGTATTGACTTTTTTGTTGCATATATTGGAATCATCATTATTTTTATAACTGACTTTTGTCTTTTTGGCTCAACCCATTTTCCCCCGAGGCGTTTTTCCGCTTTTGCAGGGTGAGTTTTCCAAAATAATGAGAGTGGGAGGCGTTTCAGTTTCACTTGGTTTCGGCTTAATAATCATAAATTGTAACCCTTTTTGGCGCAACTTCTTGACTCTGTTGACATCCGTTTTCGTTGTTTTTCAATAAGCGATAGAGGATTGCAGGACTTCTGGATTTCTGGATTTATGTTACATGGCCGCCGGGCGAAATGGCGATGGAAAGGCAAGGAAAAACTTTCTCACATGCCGAAAAGGAAATTAAATTTCCAGCCAAGTCAGAAATTATATTGGCAATAAATGAAGACACAGCCGAGGAGACGAGGATGAAAATGAGACGGAGCCCCAGACGCTGCCAGCAATTACGGCCTTCCACTTTGGCGGGGTTGGCTGGTTGGTTGACGAAACACTGGGGTCTTGAGATATACGCAGGGCTGCCAAACAGGAAGCCGGAATCGACGTTTATTAAAACGGAAACTCGAGACAACTGTGCGGCGGCACCGTCGACATCAGCACAAAAATCTGAAAAAATCCTCGAAAAAAAGAAAGTAGAAAAAGTCAAGGAAAAAAGATGCT